AATAATAATAATAATAATAATAATTGTAATAATAATAATAATAATAAGTGTAAAGTGTATCGATAACTTTATCGTAATAACGATTAAATCCGTCTCTTACATAATTATCCTAAACTTTACAATGCCTTATTTAGAAAATAAAAAGTCGTCAGCTAATAATTAATATCCGACGGCTTCAAATATTATTTGCGTTATTTATCGTTGCAACAAATCGATCAACGTAAATATTATTACATCGTTTACATTTAACAAGCACTTTATACAGAATTATACGATCATAAATGCAATATGAGCAATTTACGAGAGTTTTTAGGGGATGGATGGAGGGCGACGACGATTCCGGGGAAGTTGGAAAATGCTCGCTCGTTTCTCAATTAATTATATTTTATTTCATTATTTAAGTTAGGCGCTAATGACGTCACCGACAATCGGTGGTGCACGAGAAACCTGGAGAGTGGGTGGTTGTTGGATGGGTGGTTCTTGTTGTTCTTGTTTATATAACTTGATTTTTCGTCGGAAAGTTAGAACGTTGACAAAACATATATATATATGGATATATATATTAATTAGTATTTATCGATCTATGATGAACGTCCATTAATTTATAAAAAGAGTTATCAAAATCTTATTTTTTTCTCAAGATCGATTCTCGTTTTGTCATTCTATTATTCCATTATCCATAATAAATGTTTGAATTCAAATACCGTGAGAAAATGACTGGTCTAATTGGGACAATTAACGAAACATTTGAAAATCCATCCACGCCATTTTGATTGCAAGTTAAAATATGAAAAAAGAGAAGAAGTAATTAAAAAAAAAAAAAAAAACAAAAAAATTTATAATTTATTAATATATATAAATATTTTTCGAACGGAGGGAGAAACGTGTGTGCATTGTCTTATCGAGGTGCCAATTTTCTCTTTCTCTCTCTCTTTCTCTTTTTTCTTTGCCTTTTCTTTTCCTTTTGTTTTATTATTTGTAATATTTATATAGCTTTGTAAGCTGTGCTTTAAACATTGCAACTGCTGCTTATTTTTATAATTTTTTGTTTGAAGAGAAACATTTTTCTGACGCGGGTCTACAATACAAACGTGCGCGCACACGCGCACATAACACACACGCATACATCTACGAACGAACGCATGCATACAAAAGCAAGCACTCTGAAATTATCGTCATTGCATTTCTTTCTCCCTTTCTGACAATTATATTATTTTAATATTATAGATTAATTTTTTTTGTTTTTTTTTTAATTTTTCGTTTTACTTTTCTCCCCCTTTCTTCTTATACTCTTACTTGTCCTTCATCTTTAATTATTATTAAGAATTTTTTATTTTACTCAAAACGCTATGTTTACGAATAATTTTCGAGCGTGCTTAATTTGTCTTTTCTTTTTTTCTCTTGTTAATCTTGTTATTGTTGTTGTCGTCGTTTAATTTTCTTTTTTTTCCTCGTTTTCTTCTTTTTCTTCTTTACTTCCAGTTTTTCATTTTATATTACGTAATATTTACGACACACATATAATATGCATGTACGTATTATTAAGTTACGCCGTGTGTATCGTCATCTCTCATAGAGATATAAATTAAATATTAAATTAAATTAAATTAATTTTAATTAAAATTTACAACAACGTTTAGCAGAGTAGAAATGTCAACGATCTTGAAAATCTCCGATAACTTTTTTTTTGGCTCATTTAAAAGCCCAAAGGTTTGGCATGACAAATTGTAGGATGACTTAGCCCCCATCGAACTAGAAAAAAGAAACAATTACAAACAAATTTAAATAATGTTGAATGAGAGAGAAAAAGAGAGAGAGAGAGAGAGAGAGAGAGAGAAAGAGAGAGAGGAAAAATTAGAAATCAGAAATGTTTATCAATTGATTTTCATTTTTTGGCTACGTCATCCTATTACACAATTACACTCCTTTATAGACATACATTAATTTTTCCTCAACCTCTTACAGTTATTTAAACAAATTTATTCTTTATAACGAAGTCTTTCATACCAATTCGAAACATCTCTTTAACATTGCACTCCTGCCATTAAAAATGTATTCAAAAAAATAAATGATACTGTATAAAGTATAGTTAATACAAAAGAATATATTTCAGATAAATCAAAATAGTAAAAAATCTAATTTGATGAATTAAATAAAATGGGAAAGAGGGAGAAAGAATGAAAGAAAGAGGGAAAGAGAGAAAAAAAAATTATTAGAAACACTATTTGTGAAAAATAATAAATATTAAATAATCTACGTATTTCTATATATAATAAATATTAAAATAATCTATACATGTATAACAAACTTTGGTCCAAGTTAGACGCCACCCCCCCCCCTGTCTTCCTATTTCTTTGTACCTTTTTTCTCTTCATCCTATTTACCGATTGATTCCTATTACATACATACATTATACCAACGACTTTGAGTATTTAGAATCGATTATCGAAACGCGATCCTAATAAATCAAAATTAATAAATGAAATATCTAACATTTACAATTTAACGTCTCTCGAGATTTGTAATACGTGAGCATGCATTGTTCAAATATTTCATATATTCAACCCTTTTATACTCGAAGTATTCTCTCCAAAAATAAAAATCAAAAACAAATATAAAAATAAAAATCTAATAAACCAATAAATATAAATGTTAAATCTATTGAGTATATTAATTATACAAAAAATAATGTAATATAATAAAAATAAATAGTATGATATAACAAAAAGAAATCCCATACTTGCTAAATCTATTTTAATAGTATTGCACTTTCTTATTTTGTTATACACTATTATTTATTAATAACTTGTAACATTGATATGAAACGATAGCAATATATATATATTTAATATAATTAAATAATACTTTTCTTTTTTAAATAAATAAATATAACTCCGAGTTAAAAGGGGGAATAGTGTTGTGCCGAGAAACTCATTGCAATAGACACAAATGCTATATTTCCATATTCGTATAATAGAATCATTTTTATTTTCTCATAATCATCACCATCGCCATTATCATCATCATCATCATTCTGACACTAATTTTAGTTAGGTCCAGATGAGAGGTATTTAAAAGATACTTTTATACTTCGTATATTTCTTGTGTTTTTTTTTGTTTTTACTGTGTATCCCTAAGAGAAAGCTGCGAAAGCTTTAGGGCAATGTTAATCACATATAATCGTTTGAATGCGGTCTTAATTAAATATCGGTAATAATAATGAAATGTTCAAAAATGACATTAATTTTTCTCCACAATTTTTTGTTCATTATTCATTGTCATGTTCAACTGTAGAATTAATAATCATTGCTTTATCTCTCGCATGAAAGGATATATATATATATATATATATCGATAAATATGTATATCATATCATATCTCATCTTTTTATAATTGTAATCGTAAATAACATATTTTACATAATATATCATTAAAGTGTTGTGTGTCCGAATAAACAAACGATTTGCGTTTAAATAATCAGAAACCAACAACAAGAACAGAAAGCTTCGATAAGAGATAATATGTATGTATAATATATATATATATATATATATATATACTACTGTGCCTCTTGCAGTCTTTAAACACGATCTCTCACGATCCACGAGATCTTATCAGAGATTTTATATTCCCACATTATTTTTTTCTTTTGCTATTTTATTTGTTTTTAAACGTTAAACGTCATTCGACACGCCTCTCTTTTAATCTCCATTTTGTTTTCTTCCATTTTTCTTTCTTACTCCTCCCTTTCTTTACCTTCTTATTTTGTTTCATTTTTTCTTTATTTTTTTTTCTCATTCCTCGACATTGTCATGCCTTTTTTTATACACTTGCATCATCCGAGACGAGGCATTTATTTTTATTTTTTTTTTTTTTCATTTTTGTTTTGTTTCGTTTTTAAATGGAGAAACTACAGAGCACATAGAAATGTCTGACAAGGATGAAAAGCTGCGTATAACGCGTGAGCGTAATTATTATCTCGCACGCGGCACACGTCGATATTATATTTTACATAATGGAGAAAATAATTATTATCCTTTCCGGTCTAAATCGAATCTTTCTTTTTTTTTCAATATCTCAATTTTTTTTTCTTCATATGTCCTATATAACAAATAAAGGACACATTTCGTAACGATATACTGTCCTATATAACAAATAAAGGACACATTTCGTAACGATATACATATACATACTTTAATAGTAATTCAATCATTTGTTTACATACGCATCGATGTGGTTCTTCTTTGGTATGTTATATTTGTGTATTTATGTATGTGTGTATGTATATAACTGTAACTGTTAAATAAATAAATTATTTTTAACAAATAATTTTTTAATTCATTCTCTCCTCGTTCCCCTTTCAACCATTATTTTTCTTCTTTCTCTTTTGCTTCTCCTTCCTTTCGTTTCTCGATGTTTCACAATATTAGGCATAAACATATACACCACCCAATACCTAGCGAAAAATTCTAAATGCGCGTTCTTAAGAGAGTATGAATCTAAGTTTCCTTTTTTTCTTCCATCCAAGATGGAAATAGAGATAATAAATAAATAAAATAAAGGATAGGATATAAATTACACAAATTTACATATAGAAGATTATGAAATTCCCTGCGAACTTCTCGTTGTCTCGTCGATGACATTTCGCAAGATCGTCGAAACGTACCGAGAAACTCGAAAACGCGAAATTGTGTTTTCTCTCCCGGCTACAAATGCTAAGGTACAATGAGTTTGTTTGTTTGTTCTTTTCTTTTTATATAGCATATTTCTAGATCGTAGAAGAAATGTAAATATGTATTTTAATATTTACTTATGTACTTATTTATTTCGCTTTTCTTATCCTGCACGTAGGCGAAGTAAGCAGGGCTTAGTTTTCTTTTAATTATTATTATTATTATTATTATTATTATTATTAATATTATTATTATTATTATTATTATTATTTCTTGTTTCTTTATTTCGTGTGTTTATTTGAATTTGTTTTTTCTTGTCGGTATATTAGCGCCTATCTCGTGTTTACTTGATCTTATCTTTCTTTCTTTCTTTCTTTGTGTAAGTGTATGTTTTATGTATGTGTGTGTTCATATGTGTGTACGTGTATTTCTTTAATATGATAAAATAACGTATGTATCCTTAAAACGAGATGCCGAGATATCAAGAGATATCATAATCATCATCATCATCATATTCGGTTAGCGAATAAATTCTCGTCTGCTGACATATCTTTAATCGTGATGATCACTCGATGACTACTGAAAATCGAAAACTATAGAAGTCCTGGCCCGAAAATGTCGCTTTTGGCCAACGGAATATTCTCTTGGAGGCTCTTGCAACGGCGCCGGTTACCTCCAGCAAGGCATCGATCACTCACTTGGTTTGATTCGATTGTTGTTCCGACGCCGAAGTTACACCAGTTGGCGATACGTTGTTTAAAGATCTAGTAACCGGGCCTTTGCGTGCCAATTTTGATCTAAAACAAGTGATTTCGACAACAAGAAAATATTATCATTAACTAAAATATATTTTTTAGATTTTTTACATTTCATACCTTATCTGACCAGCTAATAACGGATTTATAGCGTACAACCAATCATACACTTCTTTGTCACCTAATGTCTGAAGAAGGTATCCACGGTGTTTTGTTACAACGCTAAAAAAAATTATAATAATAATAATTATAATAATAGTACTATAATAAATATTATTATTAATTTATTAAATTTAGTCATTGTGTATTTGAATAAAATCAAACAAGACATGATACAGACAAATAAGTAATTGTAAGAAATTACAATATGCGCCATAAAACGAATGAAATATATTTTATTTATTACATGCAACAATAGTCGCAATGAAAAGTAATAAATAGTTTATTTACCTGAACGTGTTTGGTACTTTAACCATAGCTAACTGATCCTCTGAGTATTCTACTTGAGCGGTTGCTAAATTAATCAAAGCTCTTTCTACAGGATCTTTTTCTTCTCGGAAAATCAAAACGTACGGTCGACGTACTGCCTAAATATCAATGAAAAAAGCAAATCAAACATCGTTTGAACCTTCTCTTGTAAATTGATAATATTATTTTTAATTTATTTATACTACTTACAACCCAACGTTTCTTCCATCCGTTAGTCTTGTGTTCTAATACATTTAAATACCCTTTCCTAGCAATAACAGGACTGATGCGAATTTCCTCAACTTCCGGTACATACAACACTAAATTTTCTTTCGAAGGTGAAGAGGATCCCATTGGCGCTGGTGCTGTACAAGATTGACCAATCGTCTCGCTAGTTAATATGCTTTCTTGCAATTCTTGCAATTTGGCTCTTTCGGGTGAACTTAATCTGTAAAAATAGAAAATATAAATAAAGTGTTCAATGTAAACGTTTAATTTATAAAAATAATGATAAAATAAAATAACAATTTTGAAGACTAACTCTTGGGAGGATGAAGACAACACTGATGATAGCATAGATGCTGACATGTCTCCTATCGTATCTTCTCCTGGGGAAACATCAGATAATAAAATCGGTTCTTTGCTTGGAATTCTACCTTGAATAAGTTTAATATATTTAGTTGCCAATTCTCTTTCCCTATCAGTCATCTCCCAAGGTTCGTAAACGTCTTTGCTCGTAGAACGTTTGAGTTTGATCGGGCTGGCGTGTGACTCGTTCGTAGCTTTTGCAACCATGTTACAAACCTCCTGTAAAACAATATACATATGATAATAAAAAATTTCCATAATCCCTTTATATTTTTCAGCATGAAATGTAAAAAAATTAAAGCAGCCACGTTGCACCGACATTTTTTATATTTTTTATTAAAATTTAGTATAAAGTAGATTTAATTTTAATTATTATTTCAATATTAAGAATATGGGATATACTTTTAATTTTTATTATGGTTCAAAAAGATAAAAGAATTTAACTCACTTTCTCGCTTTTTGTGAAATCATGTAACGGTTTATTACACATAGGCATTTTATCAATACCAAGTTTCTCTCTTAAAAGTAGAGTATGTCTGACCCTCTCAACCTCCTCCAATCTGGTTAATTTTTCAAGTTCCCATTGATGATCGAAGATCAGACTATCACCTCGTGGTCTCCAACCGTGAAGATTTTCTTCACCTCTGACGTAAGTTGAACTCGTGTCTAACACGCGACGTTGTCGCCTTTGTACGCCTAAGGTAATGAATAAAAAAAAATAAACAATTTTCAACAGGAAAATAACAAGTTATTAATATATAATTATTAAAATAAAACAATTTGAAATATGTTTACTGAAATGTCTGCACGAAGCTTCGCGTTCGAATAATTTGGCGAAGCTGATGTACGCCTGATAGAAGAAGAAGCAAGGTGATTGAGATCGTTGTAAGTACTATTACAAATGCCAAATATATATAGTAAGAGCACCAAGGATAAATAATCAACATTATCATCATACAGGAAATGTTCACATAATTATATCTTTTTCATCTTCTATGAGCTTTTGTTTTTCATAATGATAATACGACCAGTGCAAACGTTTTAATACGCTGTAACTTAGGATAAATAGTAGCAAGCCGCTACACTAAGGGATACACAGGACAAACCTGGGCTACCTGCTTCCGATGAACGTCGCAGCACCAATTCATAGACGCCGCTAAGTCGATTAGCCTCTTGGTTACGATAACTTCCACTGAACAGATGTTTTAATGATCTTGGCCCGATCCTGGCATCTCTGCCATAAATAATCATGCTTAAATCTTTTGTAATGATCGCTGGTCTACCACAATTCTCCAACTATAATAATCAAATAAAAAGATTCAACTATATTTTTTATCCTAGGAAAATAATTAATCCTTTTCTTTTTGTTTTTTTTTTTTCTTAACAGAAACAAAACAAACCTCAAGGTATGCGGAGATGGTCATGAAGATTTGTTCACCATAAGACGTGACCCTGTTAAGCAAGGCCGAATTGTGCAAAGAACTGTCCCAGGCCGCTTCGAATCTGAACATACACCTGTCGTCACCTTTAACTTCTAAATATTCACCTGGGAATAATCCCAGTGAAAGTACAGACGAATCGTTGTCTTCCTCTTCCGGTTCTGGGGTATTTCTAATACGACCTACTACTAATTCTCTTACATCTTTCCATCGTAATTCGGAAGCAGGCTCGTGTACTATGGTAATACGAATACGACGTTGAATTCCTTGATGTAGGAGGAATAATCCACGGCAAGGTAAATCATCGCTATGATCCACAACGGATGAAACGTATTCGCCGTTTGGTGCTAACTCACAAATCTCAAACCACACGAGTACGTCGTATTTTGCATGAACGTGCGACGTACTCGGGGATGGTAAGACGCTACCAAACTTTGGTGAACGTACTGGTTGACTTATTGGTATTGATGGTGGTAACATCCTTTTCGGTGGTTGTCGTACGCTACTAGGTAAATACAAAACACGGTTTAGTCATCCTGTATTAGAAAATAATTGAATAAGTATCCGGAAGAAGAACCTTCAATTTTGTTCTTGCCTATGTTACAAATCTTCCAGACACCCATTCCATTAGTTAATATTAATATTATTATTTTATATAAATCGTTTACTGACTATTCCAGTTTAGCATCCTTGTGTAACGGATGTTGTTGATAATGTCCGAAGATCTCAAATACAATCGGCTGTGATTTAAGATACTCCAAGAAAGATTTCGTAACAGTGACAGTAATCTACATAGAATATTAGAACGATATTAGTAGGTAATCGTTCGAATTTTATTAAATAAAATTGTCCGTTGTTGTATTTACATTTTGTACATGATAAAATCCAGGTGGGCATCCTTTGTTGGTATTCTTTACCGGTTCCGTTGAAAATGCTTCGTCATGTCGGTGTAAGAAACTATAAAAATTATCAATCGAATTTTTATTTAAACATTTTTTAGATTAACAATTTAAAATTAATCATGTTGATAATATATTATTATTTACGTACTTGAATTGACAGAAAATATCAGCATATTCGGTTGAGATACCCATCGCTTGTAACACCGTAACTCGAAATGTGAACTCAGCACCAAGTTGCAAATGATCTGGTAAATCTTCTTCCTTCATATCACTGGAAACAGAACTATCACCTCTTCCACTATCTGCATCACCAATATCATCTTCATCTTTCAAATCCTTGTGTAATTCGTTATGACCTATAACGCGATCATCGTTCATGAGTATTTGACGATTCTTTTCTAATGTTTGAGCCAAAAGTGTGTTGCGTTTGTTATGTTTGTGTCCACCGAATAAATCATCTTCGAATGAGATACGTGCGGATTGTCTAACGCCGCTGGAGTATTCGCTATTTTCTTCTCCTAAAAAAAAAATTTTTTAAATAATAATAATAATTATGTTATTCATAATTAAATTTATTCAAAATATATGTTAAATGATTGTTATATTATTTTTTAATATTTACCAACAACACCTTGCACGGCTACTCTTAAGTAACCTTTGACATCACCTTTTTCGTTAACTATAGCAACTTTATGAATAAGTGGTACAGGATACATCAAATTGCTAAGATATACGAATGATCTATAAATTTAAATTAAATATATCAATATCTTATATATATATAATCACACAATTAAATAAATTTAATATTAAAAATTAAATTATTCACCTTCCAACCATACGGAACCATGGGAACCGATCATAAAACGGATCACCACCCGTGATAGTTTCGATATTAAAATCTGGTGACGTAGGTGAAAGTTCAGCGTCATTGTGATACATTTCACGCATAGCTTCTAACCTTTGCCTAGATAAACATTCATTTCACCAATTAAATATTAAATGTACATGTTTTTTTTGTTAATATCAAACTGTTTTCTCTTACCTTAATTTTTCCAAGGTCCAATAATGTGTAGCACCATTTTTTGTATCCTGAACTTCAACGGCAACGATTGTGCGAGGGAATGGTCTTTCTTCTTCATCTTCATCATCGATTGCAATGGGTAAAAGATCAGCAGGTAGTGGCGAGTATAGTGTATCCGTCAATAACGTAAACTGGAACTGAACCTGTAATCCAAATAACATGAAAATAATTACAGTGTGATAAGGAAAATATAAAATTATAAATTAAACTATTTTATAATATGTGACAAAAATTGCGATAACATACAACACAGTTTTCATATAATACAACCTTCAAACAGCACAAATTTCATTCACCTGATTGTACTATTTTGCTTTACGTGGTTTGATATAACATTAGACGAGTTAACTATATTTTTAGAAGGGTTGAGAAGTTTAAGGATATAAAATACTTGTTCCTAGACGATCCTTACCTTCTTCTTAAGTTCAACCGATATTGCATTGGCTTCCTTGAGGAATATCGCATTGCCCCATAGATCATCTCGAAGACTGGTAAACTGATGATACTTCCACTTGCGGAAGGCCCACGCGGCTAATTGGAAATCTCTCTCGGTCCAGTTGCTCTCTGCGTCAAACAAGGGGTTGACTGAAATGCAAGCCATCACAAGGCAAAACAGTCAGAAAAGCCAAGCATGTACCAATGTCTTCGTCAACTACGCTCTACGATAATCAGATGATCGGGTAATACTAGTGCATCATATAACAAATGAAGTAATCTTTGCGTATAAATCAAAATTCAAAATAAATATAACAAATGATTCGAAAATAATGAAGGAAGAAATGATCATGAATTTTTGAATATATAAAAACATACTAATTCAACGAATTCTAACGAGAGTGTGATAAAACGTGCCAAATGGTGAAACGATTAACTTATGTTTGCGTAAAGTAAGTAATTCATTAAAATACGTATTAAAACTATTGATGAGACAATGTGAAATCGATTAGTTTATTAATACATTTGGTGCCGCAAAATATTGTACTTTCCGTTCAAATCATTTGAAATTTGTACTTTTCATACGTGGGTCATATATGACCCATGCAACTTATACGAAAGATTAACGAACATTAATTCAACAGAAACTGTGTTAATATTATTATACTAAGCGATTTCACAGCTATTTCATTATCATACATACCAAATATATCTTCTTCAGTATTATTGAAGTCCTCTGGCGTGTAACTGCTATACATTGACATAGTCATACTTTGTTCTTCTACCTGCTTCTGCAAGGCATCTATTCGTGCTTCGTAACTCTATTGTCAAGAAAAAGGAAAATAAAATAAAGGACTTCAGTTTTACCACCATGTTAATGCAAGGTAAGAAAATAATGAACTGGGGTAAAAATGAAAAAATGACATGCATTTATCTTACCTTACGTTGTTCCTCGAAGAATTGATCGGCCTCTTCTTTCTCTTTACGAAATTGTTCCTCGAGTACCATCAATCTCTTTTCCATTTCCAATTTGAGATCGATACCTTGTTTTTCTAATAATTCAATTTGTGCGAAATTCCAGTCAACGGTCTCACCGTTGCCGGGGGTCTCGGCGGGTGAATTTTTTTCTCTTCGTTCACGTACTATTTATTTAAGGAAAATAAATGAAAAAATAAAATAACATTCTCCCAAAATTTGTTAATTGGGTCAAATTATGCATATAACATTTCTTGTTGTTGTGGTTGTCTTACAATGTTTCTTAATAAGTTATTTAATAACGAATAGTATAAATTCTGAGTAGCATAGAACTTTACTCTCAAATAATTACAAGTTATTATTTAATGTTTTTCAATGGCTCATGTAATATAATTTCAAAGTAATTTGAAAATTTTCTATCAAAATTATGTCTAGATTATTCTATGAATTAATTGATAATTTAGTTCCAAATGAGAGATCATAAAATTTTTAAATCCTTACTATGTTTAATAAATTTAGTATCATTATGAGTCAACAAATTCTTGCATAAATTAACCCAATCGTAAATAGGATAGAAAAGAAATTAAAACGAAATAACGAAGACAATATAAAATACCTTGATCAGGATGATTGAACCTAAATACATGATTTTTGCCAAGAATAACGCGCGATCCAGTTTTGAGTACGATCGGTTCGGTTATTTCACGACCATTAACATAAATCAAAGCATCTTTCTTAGGCATCAGAGTGATAACACTTTCGTGATTTTCAAATACGCAATGCTCGCTCAATATATGTGGACCACAAAGTTGTATATCTTGTGGTATATTAGCTTCGGCACTTCCAATACGCGTAAAACCATCTTTGATATAATAAATAAGACACTCGGACATCAAGGGATCCTCGTTTAGATTAACCAAGTGTGGGGTTTTCTTTGGTGAAAATACACCAACTGTTACACCATCTTCTTTAACTGCTACACCCATTTCAGCGAACACAGCTTCGCGTTGGAGTCGAATCGATTCGGTTCTCTTCAATTTTTCTTCCCACGTTTCGTTTAATTCTACACATATTATTTAATATTATTTTATATCAAAAAATAATGTATAAATAATAATAATTATTATATATATATCAGGGCTTCTCAAACTTTTCTATTTGACGAGTACCGTTTACTCCAGCAAATATTTTCACGATCCTCTATGATATCATCTATTTCACTATCGAAAATTCACGGTAATAATATAAGATTACTATTATATTATCAAAGTCGCGCAGAAATTTGTTAAATTAGTTAAAATTTCTGCGACCCCGTACGGAGACACCAGTCACGCTTCGAGAAGCTCTAGTATATAAAAATACATATATAAAAAGAGTTTAATTAAAACGATGAGAAGAAAAAAGAGTTCATTACTTTTTTTTATGGATGAAAAGTAAGGATGAAAGGAGATATTTATATATATATGTATATAAAATGTCACGTGATATTTTCATTTACCGGCTATTAATTTCTCTGATGCTTGTAACTGATCGACCGCTTCTTCAGCAATAGTCGAAGTTGTGTGAGAGGGAATTCTCGAACGAGATTCTTTGTAATCATCCTCGCGTTTATTCGTTCGAATGATTTCATCCCCTGCAGATTATAAGAAAAGACAAAATACAATGTTTAATATACGGTCGAATATTTCTTTTCTTCTTCTTTTTTTTTTTTTTTTTTTTTTTTATAAAAAGAAATTATTTGTCAATATTTCTTTTCTTTTCTTTTATTGTTATTGTTATTATTATTATTATTATTATTATGATCTTTATCAATTTTTTTATTTGTTATAAATATCGTGCTCGTGGAGCGACGTCACATATTTTTTTTGAAAAAAACACACACAAAGCCATAACTTAAGGCAATAGCATAAGCAAAGAGATATTATTGACGCTTTCGTCTGCTCCCTTTTATTTTTTATTTCTTTTTTTTTTTTTTTGTAATTATCTCATTTACGACGAATAATAATTTTTATTTATATATTATTCATCGAAATAATAATCGTTCAAATAATTCATCCTAATTTATAATGTATTTTAGGAAGATTTTAATTTTTTGTAATAAGAATAAGATAGTTGTTCCAGATTGTAAATAAAATTTTTAAAAATATTTAATTATTTTCTGAACGTAATATATATATATTCGAGGGAACGAGGCGAAATTTTAGCAGGGTGGTGATGAGAAAAGCATGACTAATAATTATGACGTCAGACACTATTGTATAATCACGTTGAGACACATAGAAACAATTTTTTTTTATCTAACAATAAGCTTTTTATACGCACGGGGTGTCTCAGTTTTTTTCCATAATATTTTACGGAACAAAACTGGGTCATCCTGTACACGTAATACTTTTTTCTTTAATATCATTTTCTTTTATGGGGAAGAAGAAACTAACATATCGACAAATTTCTAAAATGAATGACATCTGAAAAATGAATTATTATTGAAGAATAAATATATGTGTCAAGTATAATATATATATATATATACACCTAACAGATAAGCTTTATTTAAGCGTATATACATGCTACTACTTCAAGAACAACGAATCGCATAAATCAACACATTTTATATTTTTTTTAATTATTACTGTATTATTTATAAATTCAGAAATAAAGAATTTTGTCCAATTTTTGTGTTTTTTTTTTGTTTTTCAATAATATAAATTTGATTATACACAATTGATCGTTGTAAATTATTAAATAGAATATATATAAACAAAATATATTCATGCAATATATGAATAATAATAGTAATAATAATAATAATACAACAATATTTGGATATAATAAATGCAGCCATAATCCAGCCTGATTCTACCATGCATTTATCCTTGTCATTATCTTACTAGAGGATTTTTTGCACATTCATGCAGCATGGTAGGCGATATATATATAGCAGCTTTTATTTTTTTTAATAATTTATATTAATCACTCAAAATATCATTTATTATAAAAAAATGCGATTCGTTATTTTCTTCATCGCGCATTCGATACGCTTCAAATCTTAAATTCAACAATCTAAAAACTTTTAATCATATTATTTTGCAATCTAATAATATATATCATTTGAAAACACTATTATATTTTTAACAATAAATTTAAATATAACGATCTGTAACTTGTCATCAAAATTTCTAACATGTGCACACTGATTTCTAAATAATTTTCTTCAACATTTTAGCAGACGTTGATATATCGTCATCTTTATTATTATTATATTGTTTTTTTTTTTTTTTTTTTTAATAGGGCAGACATATTGGACACATTTTCAAAAGGGCGGAATGGCTAAACAAGTAAATAGATTTAAAAAAAAAAAAATCAAAATAGAAAATATATATGTAGAAATTATGTATAAACAATTGTACAAAAAAAAATTTATAAAATAGATCTGCAGATATGAAAGTGTTATGAATATTATGCAATTGGCCGTGATAATAGAAGCGTATATTGAATAAAAGGCACAATGGTACAATTGCCTGGCTTGGACGCTGCTTAAAATTGCCGTGTTTACTTGTCATTCATTGACATTTAATATACAAGTCTTTTTTTTTTTATTTTGTTTAGCTTATTTTTTTTTTTTTTTGATTAAATTTCTTTTTTTGTTAATTGTTACTTACTAGGCTCTTTCTTTTCATAAGTGACTTTGCCATCTGGCCCTACGTTATGCATAAAAGGGACAAAGAAAAAAATACTATATAAATAGCTTACCTACGGTGCACCATATACATTATTAGATTAATTTCGTTAAAAAAATAGTTATATTCTTCTTCTTTATTTAATTTTTTTCTTTTTGATAAAAATATATCTTTTCCTTTTCTATTCTGTGTTTATAAATTAGCAGCAACGCAGATACAATATTTCTGAATCTAAGTACAAATGTATATATTAATATTTTCTTTTTTATGGATATTAGATTATAATTAAGATCTAGAATATATTTTATAATATACGTGATGAAGAGTGTTAATGACTTTTATATACAACGAACTACATTGTTCTATTTCATTCAAATATTAAAAAATACATTGTTAAAATATATTTAATTTATTATGACACACTCGATATATATTTTTATTAAAAATTGTACTATACTGCTTTTCGTTATACTAATATACTATTATAACTATTTATAGGTTTATATATGGAAATGATTGTTCTGAAATAGTCACTGTTTTCTTTTTTAAAAAAAGGTCACTTTCCATTAGAAATGTTGCATAGTTGAAAAACAAGCGACATTGTTAAAGAATCTTTGTAACTCACCTTCTTGAACGTCGATTCCTTCTTGTTTGAGAAGTTCACGTAGTTTTTGTATTTCTTCTTTGAGTTCTCGAATGAGTTTGGCGTTCGCGTCCTCGTTAACGACAGCTTTACAAACGATTTGTTTCGCACGATCCGCATATCTATAAAAAATACCAATGAAAATTTAGATTAATTATAATTTGGTTGTGTTTTCGGTCGTTAAATAAATAAATAAGAAGAAAAAAAAAGATATAATTACCTTAGGGTTGATAAAGTTTCATCATAATTAATGTCAGCTGGACTAATTGCTGCTATCATAGCAGTCTTCGAATTACCACCAAGATTTTCACGTAATAACCACGTTAGTACTGAATCTCTGTAGGGGATGAAATCGGCCTTCTTTTTTTTCTTGGTAGCCTGAAGATTTATTTTACCAAAATATATTTGAAAATGTCATGAATTTTTAATACAATAAAATATTGCATTTAAACAAATTATTGACTCTACAAATATATACGATAAAACTTACCGCCTAATTGTCCATTAAATGGCATACAAATTAATGGCAGCAAGTGATAAAAATATTCATTGAAGTTAAAAGTATTCAAATAATAATAATGCAATTCTAAAGTTAATGTCAAAGTTAAGATGTATTACGGAATAACAAAAAAATATACTAACGATTTCAGCCAAAGCGCTAATAACTTTTCCAAGTGTGGTAAGACTCTTGTTAATATTTGCACCTTCCTTGAGCCTTGTACCTTTAGCACCAGTCGAGTCGGCTCTTTCAGAACCTGCTAAATCGACCAGAGATATTTTACTAACTTTCTCTGTTGCTAATCCAGTCGTTGAATCTTGTCTTTGTTGTGTAAAGAAGATTGTAAATACTGCGTGTGATCTGCTGGATGTTTCGTTCATGTTTGTTGCTGCAACCGTTCTATACAAAATTACAAACATAATTAACAAAGACACGTGTAACAAATGAATCATTTTATGTATTTGTTTAATTAATTGTACAAACCTAGCTTTGTTTCCTTCGTCTATGAGATCATGAATATCTTGATAAGACATCACAGCTAATTTGGAAAGATCCTCAACGTAAGGTCCAAGAAGAGGATGTTCACGTACACGTAAATTTCCTTTGTTCTTTGGATTTAACAAATCCCTAACTCTCTCGCAATAAATCTCCATGTAACTCACCTCAACCGAATATTTCAATTGTTCGGATGAATTTCGACTTATTTTACGGAACAAATCTTTGCAAATTTGAGGTATTATTCCTTCTTGACCGTCTTCCTGTTTACCCATCATCGTATAAGATTTTCCAGCACCGGTCTGCCCGTAAGCAAATATACAAACATTGTAGCCTATAATAATAATTCATTCAAAATTATCGTCCTTATTATTGTTGTAACAGCTAAATTGTTCAAATTATTTTTGGGTTTCATTTGTTACCTTCAAATGCATGTTCTAACATTTCCTCGCCTATGTCTTTGTAAACCATAATTTGCGATGAATAATTAGACTCGCATGGCTGTAATATATGAAATTTATTTTCATTTTTATCTCTTCCTCTCTCTCTCTCTTTTTTTGTTTTTATTTTAATTTAATTTAAAAAACATATAATTTTTAAATGTTATATTTGTGAGGATACTCACGTCCATGGAAAAGTACGAATAATCATAATTGAAGCTTTTTATTGCATCCTTACTGCCTGCTGGTACTTTCGGATTTACTATTGCTATTGATTGAAAACGTTTCACAAATTATTCTTTTCTTTTATACCATTCTTATTAGTTTGTAATTATATTTATATATATTACGACGTATATTACTTACAAGTAGTATTGCCTGACATTTCAATGATGCATTGTGCTTCGCGTGATATTTCACGATTGTTAAAGGGTCGAACCCTCACCGCTACTTTCACCGACGACATCTTTGCTTTTTTCTTTTTACTCTTTTAACGTTCCTTACAATTATTATAGTCTCGTTATTATAATGTGCCTTTGGTCAGGTCTCTCTACGATATAAAACAAATATAGAAAAATATATTAGAAAAACGATATTTTGAAGTAAATTTAAAATGTCTATAAATTTTCATCGACTTCCATTTTGAAATTTCAAACATAAATTATTTTCTCGAATAAAAACAATAATTACAAAATAAATTTTACAATTTCACTTTTGTTGTCTCGGAATATTAACGAAAGATTATTTTTTTTTTTCTTATGGGGAAATAAATATGTTAAATAGAACTTAAAAATAATTTTACGTTTTTCGGTTACGACAAATTAACGAACGATCTCATTTGATTTGTTCTTTCTCCTGTATAAATAAATTACAAAAATAATTTCAATCCTACGAGATCATTTCTAAATGTAATCAAATGAAAAACGAAAAGATTTGAAAATAATTTCACAAACTATATAGATTTTATTTCTTTCCTTTTTGGTTTTCTCTCATGATAAATAAATCTGAGAAAAAGCATGTGTCAATCGAACGGAATAATTTAGAAATCCACATTTAATAATCCAAAATAAAGTCAAATAAATAATTTAACGCTGCGATAGTCATGTCGAAAGGATCTTATTGGATTGGACTGAATTATTTTGTACTACGATGGAAAATAAATCAGCAGGAAAGAAAATGCAAATTTTCGTAAGCGTTAATTATGGAATGACTCAGAGTGCTCGATTATGTACACATGCGCTCTTCCACACTACTATCCTGGCGCACGAACAATTTCTAACATAGAGCTTTTTACTCTCTCACTCTCTTTCTCTCTCTCTCTATCTATCTTAGTTATATATATATATGTACATTTATTTGAACGTATGTGTATACTACGTAGTTGCTCGTAAATATAACGAAATAACATCGACCTATCGTATATTATTAATTAACAAACAACTTTAATACTCGAACAATCTCTCGAAATATTCAACTAACAAAATCAAAATTCAAACACAGACAGACAGACACACACACACACACACGAAGACAGAAATTTTATTTAAAATCGAATAAAAATACAGTAAGACGAACGTGAGGCAATTTTCCGAAAATGGTATAAACGATAAATCAATAAAGTCTGCCATTAGAAATGGAAGAGATTCTACTCGTCGTTTCTTATTCGAGGAATCTAGAACGCTATTCGGTCAATAATTCTAATTCCTTCGAACTTGATTAGAAAATTCGAACTAAGAAATTTTACTTCGATTTAAAAATATGTTTCGAACTTTTTAGAAGAATAATATTTTTTAACAATGTTTCAACAATTTTATACATCTCACTACAACATTTAACACACTTTCATAAACATTTCATTCATACGTATATTTAATAAGAAAAATTAAATACACAAGCAATGACAAAGATCTCACTCAATGATGGAAAACGTTGAGTTCTACTACTTGGAGTGACACTAGTCCGTATTTAAACGGAGTTCTTCTCCTTACGTGATGCAACTCGACGAATGGCCGTACAAGTAGAACGAGACGGGTGAAACAGTCAGCCATTTATAAAATCGAATGTACACTCATATTTCGCACTATAATCCATTATAATAACCATTTTCAACGAAAATTCAAAAGATAAAAACTTATGTAATACTAAAAACTCCAATTGTAAGCATCATTGTAGTATAAATCACGATAATTAATTAATAAAGCATATAATAAAAATAAGAATCGAAGAATGTGAACACGAAGAGAGAAAGAGAAAGATAGATAGATAGATAGAGAGAGATAGAGAGAGAGAGAGAGAGACGAGGTCAGGTCGAGACCAACGAAAGGCAACGATTCGAAGAAAACTGAGAAGTTCTAAACACCGAAAGGGATCGAATCTTTCCGAAGGACGTTCGAGAAGCAACGAAACGAAAGATAGAGAGAAAAAGAGAGAGAAAGAGAGAGAGAGAGAGAGAAAGTAAGGAGTGGGATAAATGAGAAAGGCATCGTACCGTGATCGATAGAGAACCGGGTTGGTTGGTTCGAGTTTCAAGGGAGTTTGAAAAGACAAAGAGAGAGATAGATATATAGATAGATAGACAGATAGGTAGATAGATGGATGGAACGAAATAGAAAGAGTTAGACATATCTACATGCATGTATTGAAATAAGAAACCAAAGGGGGCTTGAGTATCCAAATAAACTATACAAGTCTTAGCTTACCTCGATCGAATTTAAATTCCACCCCTTTGTCAGTGACTGTTGTTTTCTTACTCGTATTCTCTCTCCTTGTGGTGTATAATAAGTAAGGTTGATAAAATAATCACTGATGAACATTGAGGGACGCGCGCATGAAGAGCGCACGAAGACGACGTCGCCCGTCGACGTCGTACGGCATCGACGCAACCGCGATTAAAACCGAGTGGTCGAGAAATGGAGATAAAAGGAGAAAGGAAGAGAGAGAGAGAAAGAGAGAGAGGAAAAGAGAGGAAAAAAAAAATATATATATATATATAGATATAGAATGAAAAAAAAAAATAATACTCGAGATCACTATCTCGGTGCACTAGCCGACGATCGACGATCGAGATAAATACTGCGAGACGAGAACATTATTATTATTATTATTATTATTATTATATTAATAATAATGATATAGTAACGATCTTTCGATTCGCATATTATTAATTATAACTTTTTCCTTCTTTTTTCTTTTTTTTTAATATTTATATTTTTTTTTATGTGCGTATCTGCATGTACGTGTAACTTGTGTGTATATGTGAAATATGTGTAAGTGTGTGTGTGTGTGTGTGTGTGTATATTTCTTTTTTTACGCACGGCACGCAGCCGTCTCTCTTGTTCTCGCAGATCCACCCCGATGCCGAGAACAGCTAGCAATGCTCCTACGTTTTGGTAATGTCGGTCGCCGAGAGTCAAGTGCACTGCAGGCGCCTGCGTCGATCGACGTATGTGCAAAAGAGAGAGAAAGAGGGAGAGAGAGGGGGAAAGAGTATGTGGAAGGCGAACGACTGCGCCTACGCCATTTTTTCGAGCAAATCCGAAAAAATTAAGCCCTTTTCATATACGTTCTTCTATACGATTATAACGAATAAGCCTAAGACATTCTCCCCCTCTAACTCTATCTCCAAATTCTTATTATTTATTTTTTATTTTTTTTTTTATTTCTAATTATTTATCTATATCTATATAACTATCAATTTAGCTTTCTATTCATTTATCTTCGATTTGATTTTAAAAACATAGTTTGTATTACGAGTCGTGCGTGTTCCGACGTATATACATAGAAAAAATTATTATCGATAATATTTGAATCGAGTTTACTGTTCTATTTTTTCCTCTACTCGGTTCAATATCTAAAGTATTATCATTGTATTTTATTAATACATGCTGCTGCTATTGTTGCTACTACTACTGTTGCTATTACAATTATTACATTTTTAAACAAAATATTACTATTTTGTTGGATTTAGTTTCGTTCGACTACCTGTTACCTTTTATCGATGAATTTCATTATTGGATAACCAAAGTGGATAATGGATCAGACCGTCATCCATTTTGGTTATATGCATTTTGTGTATTTTTACGTGCTTAATTTTGTGTTCTTTTCTTAAAAAGAAAGAAAATAAAAAAGAGGACTGAAAAGAATAATGTAGAAATTCTCAGGTGAAAAAAGAAAATAATTCGATTAGGTCTCAGATGTTTTATAGAAATAATAAGAAAGAAAATCTCTCTAAGATTTTAACCCTTTTTCGCAAATCCCCACTGAGAGAGAGAAAAAAAACATGGCTATCTCTCTAGAGGGATAGCTTACCTGTCGTCTTACTACCCTCTACACGATCCTTACAGAAAAATCCGATGCGTTGGGACGCACCCTGATCTGTGAATCGTCCCTACCCTAAAAGGAATAGGAATCCCTACCAAAACGGGGCCCACCACGACGAGTGGTACCGCGACTGGCACTACAAACAAGGCCGAAAGGGTATATCGAACTCCGAATAAAGATGGCGGCGGCTTCCGTTCGAGGTTAGAAAAAGAACGAAAGATAGAACTCAAGAAAGGGAGAAAGAGAAAGAGAAGGAGAAAGAGAAGTGAGACGCCATTAGTAAAAGATGCGCGCGCAGTTTGAGTCGGGTAGCCAATAGGGTGGCTCAATTGTAAGGAAAATCAATAGTATGGTGACGTCAACATGTGCGAAGAGAACCACGATCGACCGATGCGACACGGGCGGCGCCGGCCAATTTCTATGGAGCAATCAATAAGCCACCGTGCTGCCCACATTGTCGCCGATGTGACACACGCTGCCTTCGTATATTTACTTTTCCCTCCTATTCTATATCTTTATCTTTTTCTTTCTCAATCATCTTTGCTTCCTCTTAGATTTTACACCATCCCTACCAACAGTTCTTCTATTTTTCTTTCTATATTATAGATATATACCATCTATACTATATGTATATATTCTATATTCTATTATATATTTATAAAGTATATACTATAAGAGTATATATTGTATGTAGTATGAAATAAATAATTTTAATATATAGTACAAACTCTTTCTCCTTAATTTTACATCAACCTTACAACTGCCCCTCGATTTTTGTTTCCATTTTACATACGCATAATATACTTGTATTAATATATATATATATGAAATATAATAAATAAATTAATTATTATAACTTAATTACACTCCCAATCTTTCGTGACAAACACTACAAAATAATATCAAATCCGTGACCTATTTTTTCTAAATGATATAAGAGATAATCCATTACAATGTGACTAATCTATAAGTCACCTTTTCGTTATTGGTATTTACCAATCTAACAAAAAAATTAATTTATTGTCAACCCTTGACTATTTAATCCTTTAAAAGTTCTCATATTCCGTTTGATCGAGTGCCTGCTACCATTTACGTGACCCCACAAACGAAAGAGATGAAACTAAAGTTCTCCAATTTGTTGTGTTTCTCTTTTTCAAAATACGGATTAAAACCACTAATATTTGTTTCTTACACAAAATTGATGTACAAACACATATATTAATATACTTTGACATGTTTAATTGGAAAGTTGAATATTATTTTCCATCATAATCGAAACGTTTAACCTTTGTTAATCTCCCACACCATTCGATGACCCCTTCTTGCATTCACCAACGATAATCCCAACAAAGGGTGTCCAAGTGAAGGATGAGACGTATCCGCAGTGTCTGATACGAGAAACGCACCTCTCCCCTTTCTCATACATAAACACATACACATATTCAAACATATACACATTTCAAGTGTTAGAAATGTTGGCGCATTTTTTTACTGACGAATTTACTCTATCACATTTTGCTTGACATATACGCGCATACATGAATGCACACATACCACCCCCCTCCACACACACGCATAAATACGTGAAAATGAATATATGGAGAAGGTTGAAAAGGCAGACAGTTCTTAATTCCTATCAAATAGCTCGTTATCCTTGTCTATCCGATGGAATTGATCGAAAACGTACAAAAGCTTCACGTGAAAACCTATTCAATATTTTAATGAGATAATTATAAAGAGAAAAAAAAAATATACGATGAAATATAGAAAACACATTTGCTGATACGATATTATTATTTTATTCACTTTACGAATAATGTGTATCATTTTATTCTGATTTATCGAGGGAAGAAAGGAAAGATGACATTTCTAATCGTAGCTTCGAATTACCGATTCGTTTGATATCCCTTCGTATTATATAAAATGGGTAATGCGTATTATGAAATAGATATTATTATACGCATAATAATAACGATACTTTATAGGATTCCTTTTTTGCTTACAATCCTTTCACAAAGTGTGTGTGTATATACGTACTTACGTTGGTTAGAATTGTTCTATCCAATCGATAATTTCAAGCACAAAGATTTATAAGCGAGTGACACGATAAGAACAATCAAATAAATTTTATACAATTATTTTGATTTTATTTTAATCTTTTAGAGCGTAATTTAATATTTTTAATTTTTTACATTACGTTATATCAAAAATTAAACTTTCTAATAAGAATAAAATCTAATGTAAAAATGATGACAATAAATTTTGTAATACATGATTATTATTTATTGCACGTACACGAATATTTTATGAATTTTATTAAATAAGTGTGTAATTAATTTAATTAGTAAAAAATTAATGTTTTAATTTAGAGATTAGAAAGGAATATGATTATTAATAAAAGAATAATACAAAAATCGATTGATAAAATAGTAATAAATTAAAACAATAGCAACACTTGTAGCATTGTCGTGCTTGTTTATATGTATATATGTATATTAATATGTATATATGTATGTATGATCGTTATGCCGGTAGAGAATGGTTCGATTATCAGTAGTAGCTTTCAACAGCTATATATACATATATAGCATAGTCCCAATTACTCGAATATCGATTCACTTGTAACTATTCCAAGTAGGAATCGTTGGAAACGTCGATAATTTGCAATATCTCGTAAATCTTGGTAATCGAGAGTGTCGCCTCTTTTCATCAGACTATTATTGAAAATTAAAATACAAACAAACGAACTAGCAAAAATATACAAAAGAAAGAGAAAAAAAGGAAAAAAAGAATGAAGGGAGACATTTTTATACCCAATAGATGTGCTACATTTTGAATGACTCTTTTGAATAGGATTGATGCAACGTTGTGTACAACATTTCACGTTCGATAGTATGCTAAATGTGACGAATCGCAAACCCCACCATCGTTTTTATTTGAACTTATTTTCAACCTTGAGACACGCGCCATGCTTTATTACATACTTCATTACTTAAGAAAAACCACACACACACATATTAAAGATGTAATAATAATTGTGAGTAATAATTACAATGTTAGAAAATGATCTATAAATTTCTTAACAAGTTACTAACGTGTAGAAAAAATTATTAAGGTGATACTTATCATTGTAGTATTTTTAAATATTATTCATCAGTATTTTAAATTAAGAGTCAATATTTTAATTAAAATATTTGTTAATATAATTCTTCAAAATTATACCAATCAAATAAATAAAATAATGTCTATGGTTATTTATTTATATCCGACAAAATGTACTAACTACTTAATTTATGCAACACTTACTAATAAATAATAAAACTACTGATTGTAATAGAAAATGATAAAAAATATTAATCTTTGATTTAATAAATAAATATTCAAAAATTCTCTTATAAATTTTTTAAGATACCAATTATGTAAAAACATATTTCTATTCATTATTTCAACTTGCATAATTTCTATCTTCTTTGTATTTCTAACAATAACTTCATTCGCAGAACATTCATACTTAAACCTCTTCCTAAGTACGAAAGATCACGAGAAGAAAGCATGAATAAAAAAATGGTTGACCTGTTCTCATCGAAGACAGAAAACCACAAAACGGGGAAAAATAAAAATAAATAAAAGGAAAAATTGTTGGGAACAAAATAGAAAAAGAATTAAAAAAAGAAAAAAAAAATATATAAGCGGGCACGTTATTTTAATGAGTAGCACGCGCGAAATGATGGATTTTTAGAAAATGAATAAAAAAAAAAAGAAAAAACTCTTTTCTTTTGCACCTTTCAATTAACGTGCGACATTTTTGCGAAATAAAAAATCGGTAATAAAACGAGAACACATAAGGTATGCAAATACATATAGAAATATTATATGTGTAAGGTTGCGTTAGGGTATGTTTAGCAATATTTTAATGAATGTGTGTGTGTGTGTGACACCGAAAAGTAAAATGTTGAGAGTTTTTTAGAAAATGGAAGTAACTTCTATTTTTTTATTTCTTTCTTTTTATTATTCCCTTCACGTTAACCTACAATGCATACAATTATTATTGCAACTCAATTTTAATAAAATCAGCTGATAAGAATCTTTACGTTTTTTATTATTATTTTTATTATTTGTAGATTAATTTTCGTAATATATCTGAGCTATCGTTTAATTTTACTTGACGAGATGAACAGCCGAGATAAGTTTTGTCTTGTTCAACAAGTCTGACCAATTAAATTACCTCGTTTGAAAAGTCCTTTTATTTAATATGAAATAGA